AGAAGTTGAATATTCCTTCAGAATTAGGTATAATATTAATGCTTTTTTAGGTACTCTTGTTATGGTTCTTTCTAAGTTCCTTGACCCCAAATTAGATTTGACTTTTAAAAAAATATTCGGCACTGAAAAAAATAAGAATATCCTTATCCATTTTCTCAATGATATTTTAGGGTTTACTGAAATAAATACTATACAAGAAGTGGAATTCCTTAGCACCATTATGGATCCTGAAATTGCCTCTGACAAGCAAAGTATTGTTGATGTCCTCTGTAGAGATTCTACTGGAGCCAGGTACGTGATCGAAATGCAGCTTGCTCGCGATAAAGGCTTTGAAAAACGTGCTCAACTTTATGCTGCTAAAGCTTATTCAAGACAGGCTGATAAAGCTAGTAAGTACTTTGATTTAAAGAAGGTTTTCTTTATTGCTATTTCTAATTGTATTTTATTTCCTGATAAGTTTGATTATATCTCTAGCCATACCATAAGAGATGAAAAAAACTAATGAACATGACTTACAAGATTTTCAATTTATTTTCATTGAGTTGCCAAAGTTTCCTAAGAGTAGAGAAGAACAGCTAGAAAATGTCGTAGATCGTTGGTTATTTTTTCTTCAAATATGCTGAAGACACTACTGATGACGATTTAAGAAAAATAGCAGAAAAATCTCCAATAATAAAGCTAGCTTATGATGAATTAGACAAGTTTCATTGGCATAAGAAGGACCTGGCAGCTTATGAAGAAAGGTTAATGGATTTACAGAAAGAAGCTGCTATTTTAGAACAAAAAACTCGATGATGCTACTCACAAAGGTAGACTTGAAGGTAGAGAAGAAGGCATCCTCATTGGCCATGAAAAAAGTAAAATTGAAGTTGCAAAAAATTCACTTAAAGCCGGTATCTCTATAGATGTTATTGCTGAAATTACCGGCCTTTCCTTGGATGAGATTCAAAAATTAAAGTAATTATCCTAGCCTTACATCCCTAGCTTGAGTTAAATGACCTTGAATGTACGTATTATTTAAATCACTCCTAGGCTTCAAGCTTCCTTTTACATTACTAACTTCTAATTTACTATCTCTGCTATGTAATATCTCTTGCTTTAGTGTCGCATCTAGTCCCTTATTAAGTTCATCCTTAAATTTATCAAACTTCTTTGGACTTAACTTACCAGGATATCCTGCTTCTCTATTAGGACATGCTTTCTCTATCTTCTCTATATGTGATTTTAAAATTCCTGAAATCTCATTAAACTTACCACCTATAATTTCTTCTGTAATCTCATCATGTATTTTCATGAAATTAATATTTAATCGATGTGTTGATATTTCACTTTTTTGATGCAGCTTGCTTTACTACTTTCTCAAATTCATTTGTAATATTTAGTGCATTAGCTTGTGCTTCTAGTAAAGATATAGATTGCTCTGTTGTAGAAACATACTTTTGACCTGTAATTTTTCTTACCAATATATCAAGTAACATTATCGTACCATTGACATCTATTGGTGCATCAACTTGTGAGATTGATTTTGTAGTACTTGATGTTTCTTCAGATAAAACATCCCTAGAATAAAATAACCCACCTACAGAGCTTTTCACCCAACTAAACAAATCATTTATCCATGAAGATGGTCTTGTGCCACTACTTATTATGTCCTCACTCCTACGATTTCTAATGTGGTGCCTACTATGTTCATGTCTATGTCTATGCATTACAGGTTGGTTAGATAACATCACAACTTCTGGTGTCATGTTTTTACTTCCAAATACTTCTTTATATACCTTATCCTGATGCTCCCTCTTTATAGAACTTAAGTACTTTGCTTTACTTATTTCTTCCCGATTCTCTTTCAAAACTACTTCTTTATCAGCAAACTTTATTGATAATGTTTCCATTTTAGGTTCTACATAAAACTTACTAAGCACTATCGTACATAGACCATCTTGTGTGTTAAAAGCATTAGTTATGATTAGATCACTACCATGATCACGAACGAATGTATAGTTTCCTACTCTTCTAGGTGTTATTAATTTTGTATTTTCTTCTATATCTTGATTTGTTACAATGATAACTTCTTTTTCCTTTTTAAATATTAAAGGTTGTGGTTTTAAACTCCACTCATTATTGTCAACATTGATTCTCATAGGAACATTTCCTACTATCACGTGAGTCTTGTTATACCACTCAACTCCATCTTTTAATCTCACAGTAAAATACTCATCTTTTATTAATGCATCTCCTACTTGCTTTTCTACTGCTGCTCTTAATAATAAATCATTTTCAGACTTAATTACTTGTAATTCAAAACTACCTTTTCCTTTTCTTACTACATTTCTTAAGTCAATCGTATCTATTGAACTCTCTTCATCAATATCATGAATAATAACCTCTGGAAGTTTATCAGCCTCAGAGTCAATTACATATACATTTTCGCCACCATTGCCCACCAAATGACTTTTATGTAGTGGATCATTATGTATTATCTCATAGTTCCCACTTCCTATTACAACTGTCTCATTACTTAGAAGTGATTGTATAAAGAATGACATCTTACTTAGTCGATTTGCTATAGGTAAATAATTCCTGATAATTTCTTCTGCAGATTCATTACTACTTTGTACCATATACAAGTTACCTTTACTCCCTATTCTTATTTCACCATTATTTCCGAGCATGTATAAAGGATTTTCTGGATAGGAGATAGTTATATTAAACTCTTTATCAGATTTGATAAAATTGAATTTTACTTCATGTTCAGTCCTGTTAAAAACATTTACATATTTCACATCGATACTTTCTATATCAACTGGTTCATATGCAAACCAAAACTTATTGTTTACATCAAACCTTTCAGGCCCATAAATAAAACTAAGCTCTGCACTCCCACTATTGTTTAATGGTACTACATAATCAAAGCTTCCTTTTAATGCTCGATTATATACTACAGTATTAGACCTTACTATTATTTGCATCTGATAACTACAGCTGTTATCCATTATGTTTATTCTATCTTTTATTTCTTTATTACCACTCTGACCATCTATCAGTTTTACATTACTATTACAACCATTACATGAAACAGTTATTGTCTCTGCCTTATCTTTTCTTCCTATAATTTTATTCATCTCACAAATTTTTAACCAGTTACTGCGGAAAAAGTCTGCTATTTCTCCTATATCTAATTGAATATTCAATGGTTCTTCCTGAAAAGCAAATGATGTAATATCTAAGGTATTAACTCCTCCTTCCCCAGATAAGTACCCATTAACAAAATCTGCCTGTAAAACAAATATATCATCTTTATTTCCTCCATAATATTCTTTAGATCCATTATTCACGACAAAGATGTTTGGGCTGTTTAAAAACCCTTTTGCATAATCTTTACCTTCTTCTAAGCTGATTAGAGTATGATTTCCTGTTTTATTTGTAGATAAACCAATTGCATTTTTACATAAATATGACCCATAACTTGGAGCAGGTTCATAATTTCCTTGTGGCACACAAAATACCTGACCTTCATCTGGATTATCTGGTCTTACTTTACTCCATTTTATATCGGTTCTTTTCCTATCTAGTAGTACTGTACTATCTAGATCTACTTTCTGACCAATAGGAAAAACATAGCTTTGAATATCACTATGTTGTTTTAAATACTCAAATCCTTGCTTAACTAATTGGTTATAAAGTTGTTTTTCCTCCATTAATTCTTTTATATATTGTTCAGGTTGCATGCCTATAAATGCACGTAAATCTTCAACAAACCTCTCTTTTCCAGTTAGGTGAATAAGTTGATCAATTTTATCAACTTTCTTTATTGCCATGTAAACATCAGTTCCAACAAATACTACCACTCCTATTGTAGCCCCAATAGGTCCAGTAATACTTGATACTCCTTCTAATACCTCAAAAGCTTCAGCAATTTCTATACCAATCTCCGCAGAATCAACTCCCAGGTAAATGCTATCTCCTACTACATCAACAAGTGCTTCTGTCGTACCATTTTTAAATGCTTTTACCTGGTTTACTAGATCATAGATAACAAAAGCAGAAGTTCCACGAGCAAGAAAAGGAGATGCTGTTCTTAAAGATTTACCAAGTAACAACTTTCCTTCTGAAGCCAATTTAAGCCCTTTAAAAGATGCAGCTTCAGCAACTTTAGCAAATCCTTGACCACCGGCAATAAAGCCTAGATTAATTGCAACACCTTCATAATCATGATTAAGAAAAGAAGCTAGAGTTGCCTTGCCCATCATTCCATGCATGGTGATACCAGAAACCATTCCTACTTTATTTAAATGATTCATGAATTTTTGATTACTAATAAGCTTATTAACCAAACTTTGAGATTGACCTGTAATCTTAACCTCATCTGCCAGCTGAATTAGCTGATCACGTTTTTCCTGCGGCAGATCTTTAACGTAGCTTATAAACTTTTCACTATCTATTTCAATATTGTTTAAACTTCTTTTTTCATCTTTTTCTACATTAAACTCATCCACATCTTTCCACGTAAATAAACATTTATTTTCAGCTTCTCTTTTCTTCCTATGACTTGGACCTGGTAAGCATTCTCCAACGGAAACTCTACCTCCTTGTTGTACAATTTCTTGCTGCTGATCAGAAGACTGAACAATTCCTAGTTTCTCTTTAAGCAACTCTGCAATATCATCATCAGCAACTTCTAGAAGTGTTTTTTTTGTCAGTGTTTCTAGCATTCAAAATCGCTTTAAGCCTATCATCCTGGGTTTTTTTCTTGTAATAGAGAACGAACTTCATTCTCTTTTTCATCTTGAACAGCTTGAAATAGTTTTTTCGATAATGTTAAGTAATTTCTTAACTTCATATTGGGATTCTGCTACCTGCAATGGAGTATCTTCTACGCTATTTTTAATATTCACAATAGCACCATTTTCTAGTAATAATTTTACGACATGTAAATTACCTTTCTCAGCAGCAAGGTGTAGTGCCGTGGTACCTTTAATAGTCGTTTGAGCATTGATAAAATCATTGAATTTAATAGAATTAAGTTTGCTAGCATGTTGTAATAAAATTTTAATAATTCCATCATTACCTTTAGAAACAGCTATGTGTAGTGGTGTATTGCCTTTATCAGTAGTCTTAGCATTAACATCAGCACCTTTATTCAATAAAACACCAACTACCTCATTGTAACCATTTTGAACTGCATAGTGTAATGGTGTCCAACCATCCTTGTCTTTAGCGTTAACAACTGCGCCTTTTTTTATATAATCTTCAACCTTTTGTAGATTGCCTTTTTTTTACTTGAGTAAATAATTCTATTTGTTTATTAGAATCACCTAAAT